TTACCATCCACAGCCACTTGACCTGCAGCAACTGAGTGCAGTGTTGCAACATCCATTGAGTGAAATTCCTTACAAAATTAGTGACCTTATTAATGGTCTGCCTAACAGGTGCACAAAGGTTTTAGGTAATAGAGGACATTATAGACACATTTGTTTAATTGTTTAAAATATTATTGTGTCTAATAAACAAAATTATAAAATTAAAACCTTTTATTTTGTTATTTTGCAAAATCCCTTAATTACATTTTCCTTCAGTAAAAAACATAATAAATTTTAATGCAATTTGTAATAAAAATGCTAGGGAAAGTGTAAGGGAAAACCTTACAAAACTGGCAATATCCCTATTCATTTTTCAGTAGTTTAGTTCAGGTTTCAACTTCTCGCAGTCCACCGGCAACTCCAGCTTTTGTAATCTGCAATAAGTTACTGGCAGAATTACATAATCACCCACCCTGGGGTCAGACCTCGGTCTTATCCGTCCAGTTAAAAAGGCTCTAGGGGCTAAAACTAGGTCATTTCAGCCCCTAATGCAATCAATTCCTAAATCCAAACCCATTCACTATTTACACACAATTCTCTCAGTTAGGGTGGTGTAGTATTCAGTAATCATCACCCTTCACATATATTGCATAACTAGCCTAATTGAGGATCAATGGGGTACTAAATGTTCTGCTGTTGGCCCTCTTACATTCACATTCACACCAATAAATACATTCACTTTCAACTAAGCACATAAAACTATCAGTACTATATACAATAAAACAACCCTGTTTCCTTCAAAAATCAGAACAGGGACCCAAATACTCCCTGCCAAGCTCAAGCACAATTCTCACGTTGGGTGTGGCATTCCTAAATGCTCTCTATGTGAAGAAAAATAATTGCACCCTTTAATTAGGATAGAAACATCTTTTCTCTGCCGAAATTTACTGTGGTTTGATTCAAAAGTGTCCATGTATCAACCTCGCTGTTGAGGATGACCCTTCTTCTATGAGTAAAGGCTACCTATCAACCGTACTCTTGATAAGCGAGAGTTGCAATACTAGGGTGGTGTAGTACTCAATAATCATCACCCTTCACATATTAGATAACTAACTTAACAGGGGATCAATGGGATACTCAATATTCCGCCATCGCCCTTTCATTCTACACATTTATGCCAATTCACTCCCTCTCAATTAGCAACATAAAACTATCAGTACTTTATACAACAAATCAACCCTATTTCCTTAAAAATTGGAACAGGGAATAATAGAAGGAAGGAAAATGGAACAATAAAACAACTTCTACAATAGAACACAAACCATTTTTTGTCAAATCTATCAACCTACAATATATATTATATAAGTCGGTGATTCCAAAGGCCGGAACTAGTTTGACTGGATCAAACTTGTTTTGTCAACCCTGGTGACTGAAGTTTCATAAGAGATTTCATTTAACTTCAGTTGATAAGAATGTGCCTTTTTGCCTATGGGTGAGCACTCTTCTCGTGAATGAAAAATTGAATTTTAATTTACAGAGCATATATGAAAGATCAGACAAAATTAATTGAGAATGAATAAGAATACTTGAAAACAAACTAAAGATATCTGTTTTTCTCAGCCCAAGGAAAAAGATAAGACTGATTCATTGTCAAAGTCTACTATACGGTGTCAAAGTTTATCCTGAGACAAAATATTATTTGACGTGACTCATTTGAAATTAAGGCCACTCCAACATGTTTACCAGTTTCTCATCGATATTGCAATATTAAATTTAATTAAACAATCACATGTATTATCCGCCAGTCCGAAAAATGAATTAATATTACTTATTATTGCACGAAATCATAATTTGATAAACATTGTTAAAAATTAGACCTAAGTCAACATTTTAACCTAATGCACGCCAAGCTATAAAGTGTATATTTGTACACACTCCTGCATAGGGAATGTATGGTACAAGAGGGATGATGAAGGAATATCGGACTCACTTTTGTATACAGAGTATCATTCACATGGACAATATTTAACTTAAAAACACTGATTAACTAAATTAACAATATTACTGTATATCATGTAAGACTTCAGAAAAAAATGAACGCTTAAATCCACGGACTACATTTTTTAATGCCGAAACTTCAAAGATCTCATGTAAAAAATTCCAAACTTGTAGGACAACAAAACATGTCTGCACTCGACAAGGCCTCACAGGCTACTCCCTGGAAAAGGGTGAGCAGAATTTGTTTTTCATTTATTTATTTATTTATTTATTTACGGATCAAAATCTACTATAAAAAATAGTGAAAATAAAAAAAAAATTTCTTGGCAGTGTTCAATTATGGGAGGGATCTGTATAAGCTGACAGAAATATTTAATTTTTGGTTTATTACTGAAGTAACATATACATTTTTTCTCTATATTTTCTCTTATTTTAAATGCACATAGAATTTTCATTGTTATTTATTTTAGCTTGGCGAACTACATCAGACGGATTTTTCGATCCATTGTCTATTTACTGTTATGTTTTTCTTCTTTCTAGTGAATTTTGATTTGTATTGTAAATACAAGAGTTTTTCATTCATTCATTCAATAGAAGACTTCTTGTGGGACACAAATGATCTTTCTCTGATTTTCTCTATTTTTTTTCTTTTTTGCCTGGGGCTTCCGACATCTACGTCATTTCATCCCCCAACTAAGTCTATATTCTATTTACACTTTCAAACACTACATTCATACAAATAAATACATTCATACACATAAATACACCCATACAATACACGCATTCCGATTGGTCGGTGAAGTACTTGATATTCCTCCACTGAATCTTAAACTAATCTAGATTGCGGTCGATGGAGTACTTTTATAAATATTTCGCCATTGACCCCAAACACATACTCATACGCTCTCAATATTCAAGGGGCGATGATGACGTTATATTTCACCCTCACCCCTCGCCATTCACGCTAATAAATCCATGCACTCAGACAAAACATATAGGCACATAACACATAAGACTATATACAATTAAAAAAAAAACAATTTCCCCTAGAAAGCGGAAAAGGGCACCCAGAAACCTGCTGCAGTGCTCGAGTACCATGATTTTCTCTATTACTATTGCAAGTGATGTAAGAGTATAATTTTAAATATATAAGGTTTAAGGTATCAAGTATTCCTTCATTGTGATTTTTATTGTCACACTTGAATGATGTTAATCGATTAATCAAGCTTCTCTGACATTGTGCACTGCAAAAAAAGTTCTATATAAAACTGATCATTTTGCAATTTGTGTACACTCTGTTTTCCAATAAGGAGTTTTTTTTAAACAAATGATGATTCGTCTTTGTGTTTTACATAAAATTTTAAATAAAATCAGGCAGAGCAAATCCGTAATGGATGACTAAAATATACTTAAAAAGGTAAATAAATAAGGCTTTAAGAGCAAAATGTTAAACAACGAGCTAAACAAAATTTTAGTTAAATTTTAATCTATCACTAAATGATTTTCCGATTCCAGTGTTTTGGTGAATTTTATTTCAAACTTAAAACTTTCAAAATTAAATATTTTTGTTAAAACTCATGAGTTTCTAGTCTCGTTTCATTTGGCATAAATTAACGAACTTATATTGTAAATTAATATAACAATAATATACATATGGTATGAAATAAACAATAAAATACATACCCAGTTTTTTTAAATCTTTGAGTGTTTATAATAAATAAAAAAAAATGTTAAAACAAGGTGACCCATCTATGTAAGGGTCTCAGTAGCGCAGATTTGAAATTTGTGGGTATATATCGGCTTTTTTTACAAAAACAGCGACACCCACAGGGTTCACATAATTTCATAGTTAAAATAGCACTGGAAAAAAAATTATACACATAGCTGTATTACTACTGTAATTAATGTGTGGTGTTTAGTGACCGTTACTTGTTGGAGGTCGTGAGATGTGGACCAGACCGCATCCCACGGCCTCCAAATAACTATAATTAATTTTACAGTTTCGGATGAATACACTATTTTTCCATTTGTACACACTATTTTCCCTATTTTCTGCAAAGTATGAAGGTATCACTTGAAACGTCGTTTTTCATTACCTTGCAGTAACAAAAATAAAAAATGTTTTACAATTAATTTAATATAAACAACATACAAATTTCTCAAGCTAAAGTAGTTATTTCTATTATATTTTTTTATAATTTCAGTATTATATTATTTGAATATTATTATTATTTATTTCAATCCTGTAAAATTCATAATAGTTACATTTTATATTTAAAGTGCATACAATGCTCTCACCCTAATCTGAACTTCCGTACTCCAAACATTCCAGTAATCTAAACTGCGCAAAAATTCAACAATTAGAGTGAAACATAATGTGGGGGGGGGAAATGGGGAGAGAGTAGAAATGAAAATTGTTTTCTTCAAAAAATCTCGCCGCTTTAGGTCACGAACGGCTGAGGTCTCTTACCTCTCTTGATGAGAGAGTGAGTGAGGGTTCATAAGAAAGACCAAGACCACCTTAGACTATAAGAATTTTTGAAAATTTCTTCTGTTCAATGAATCCTCCATTCAACCACCCATACTGAAATGAAATTTCTCTGAAAGAGCCAAAGCCCTCCGTAGTTCTCCAACAGTAAATATTAAAGCCGTTTTGCAAAATGAGGACTGATGATGAAAGACAAATTTCAATTTCTTTAGGGAGCTCACGATTGTGCAAAATAAAAAGGAATTATTTTAATTTGAGAAGTATATATTTTAAAACTAGTAAAAAATTTCATCCAAGTAAAAAAAAATTTCTTAATGCAGATATTTATATTTTGAAGATACTAATCATTGAAGATGTGTGATTTTTCAACTATAACACACATCTTATAGAAAGATTTTAGGGGTTTTAAATAATTTTCACACCTCATCATTTTTATTTATTTTATTTATTATTTATTTAATATCTTTTAGTGTGAAGAACGGAAATCTTTTTATTTGAAAGTTTCATTCTGTAAAATAATTTTATCACAATGTTGTTTTATAATTGAGATGATCAGAAAGTAATAAATGTAATATTTTGAACTATTAATAAACAGCGTCATGCAACAAAATTAGCTGCGGTGGTAGTGTACTATCACTTTGTGAAAAATCTCATTAATCACCTAAGATAGTAAGTAAATAAATAATTTATTTTTTTAATTGTAATAACTAATTTGTTAAAGATGTCAGAATAAATTTAGTGAAGAGGAAACTCTATGATTGTAGGTCTGTATATAAATAGAGGGTGTTCTAATTAAGGAATGAAGGCTGTAGTTGGCCGCTATATGATGTGACACATTGAGACGTTTTATAAACAATATCTTTAACTTTTCTAGAATCCACTGTGGATGTGAATAATTATAATCAATAAAGAGAATGTGATAGAAGAAAAATGGTGCTTATATGTATGAGAAACATATACGAATCATTAGTGAAATTGAATTTATAGTAAATATGGCATACATCAAAATGAAAAAAGGAGAAAACAATATATACTTGTTCATATAAATTGTGGTCTATTGTACTTTTGATATGGTAGCAGAAGAAGAGGATTGGTCTTTAGCATTTTTGAACGGATGCAGGTTTTGGTTTCCATTTGTATTTGTTCCAGTTATTGTCATAATAGGCATTATCGGCAATGTGATAACAATAATTGTATTAACAAGAAAAAGAATGAAAAGTTCTACCAATAGCTATTTAACGGCATTGGCAAGTTCAGATCTTCTCTTTTTAGTATTTAATATGATTTTATCGCTTGAGCATTACAGAGGAATGAAACATCTAGATTGTATAACTTACTGGCAGATTTGGAGATTTTCCATTTGGTTAGCTGATGTGACAGGTAAATATGAAAATGTATTTTTTATTTATTTTACTTACATACATACATTTTTAGGTGGAATCTCAGTATGGTTAACAGTGTCTTTTACGCTTGAACGCTACATAGCAGTATGCTACCCTTTAAAGGGGAAAATCATTTGTACTGAATCGAGAGCAAGAAAAGTGATTACTGTAATAGTGATTCTAGTGCCACTGATAACAATAACTACTCCATTTGAATATACAGTAGAGCTCCAAATTGATGAAAGAACCAACACTACCCAAGGGATAGATACTAGTGAACTGGGGAAGAATGAAACTTACAAAACATTATTTTACACTACTTCTAGTATACTGTTTATGATTATACCTTTCATAATACTCACCATTTTTAACTCACTTTTGATCACTGCTGTTCAACAAAGTCAAAAGCATCGAAATAAACTTACTGAGGTGGGTATCCTTGCACAAATAATTATAAAATCCTCAAATTAAACAAGATTCCTATCTCTTTAGTATTACTTTGGTTTTTGTATTATTTTTGTTCTAATAGGATTACAGGGGTGTCAGTGGTTCAATTAGATCAAAGAGCAATAAGAGGTCATCAGTTGTTAACATGAACAATAAAACAAAATTGGAGATGCCTAAGACGGTAAGAAACGTTTGTTTGTGAACTTAAATAAATGTTACAACAATTTGTTTTCTTTCAAGTATAAACACGATTTTAAATTAAATCCATTAATAACAATTCATGCTAAATGAGAAAATCATGCATAAATGTTTAGATTCTTAAACTAAACATAACTTTTTTTAAACTAACCACTGCTACTTTTTAAAATTAAAAATAATGTCAATAACCACAATTAATTCAAGACAAAGGCTTACCTTCCCCATTAAGCAGTTACTCCTGTTCATGACAGGTCCTCTGCCAACCCTCTCGTGGTGCTTATATTGGAGAGATTCCATGAACTGGAGCATTTCGGCAAAACGGTGGTTGTTGGCTGGGTACATAGGGAGGGTAACGAAAAAAAGTGGATGAGGTGGCTAAGACCGGGACGTCCCAACCTCTGCATACTGACCATCTCATGCTAAAAATGCAATTAAACATAATTAAAAGATGTGGCAACATCAGTAGAGAAACTCTCTTGTATCAGTGTACTGTCGAGGTACACCTCGGAGGACATGACTCATATCCTCAACTGCAAGGTTGGCACATGGATAGTTAGGCTTCAAATAGAAGCATGCAGGAATGCCACCCGATTTGAGAATTGTGCTCACGTGTCAGTGAGTATTTGGCCCCCTGTTCCGAATTTTGGATTAAACAGGGATTTATTTTATATAGTTTTATGTTCCTAGTTGAGAGTGAATGTATTTATGTAAATGTATGAGAGGGCCAATGGCGGAATATTGAATACTCCATTGATTCTCAATTAGGTTAGTTATATAATAGGTGTGAAGAGTGATGATTATTGAATACTACATCACCCTAATTGAGTGAATGGGTTTGGATTTAGGTACTGATTGTATTGGGGCTTGAAACGGCCTAGTTGTTGAAACCTTGGCAGCAGTTAAGGCCGAGAAGTGACTATGGACTGTCAACACCCGGGTGGTGATTCTTGAGGCCTGCCAGTAATTTATTGTAAAAGCAGGAATGAAAAAGCTTTAAAAGCTGTGTAAAAAAATGTAAAAGCTGGTGATCTGTGAGAAGTGATAGGCTCAATACAAGCTTGCATGTATGTATATGCATGTGCAGATTTGAGGTTACATAAATCAGCATATTATAAGTATTTAAAGAGAACTACAAAATTTAGGGGAGAACAGAGGATTACAGGTTACAGAGTAATACCAGTCAAACCACGTTTTACATTTTACAAATGTTATATGTTTACAAGAGAGAGAAATAAATGATTATAGCAATTGAAACTAGAATAATATTCCTGCTGAATCATACCATTGACAACGTATCTGAACATGGAACATGTAGCAATACCTATAAGTTGTCAATGGCAGTACCCCATTCAACCCTACTTTTTTAAGATAACCTTAACTTTTATATAGGACGTTTTATACAAATTATTAGAAATAGAAGAGAAAAATATTCTCAGTTGACACAGTGCCTAGTCAATGTTTAGTTTATTTATATCAATACACATATTCCATCTGATATATAAGACCAAAACTGTCTTATTAAAAAACAACAACCTCTTTTTTGAAATAATACTGTATTTACTGTTTTAATCAATTTTAAAATTAATTATTGTTTTAGGTAGTGACTCAAAGGGGATTACAAAGAGAAAAGCAAGAAAATAAAATAACTATGGCATTAGCTTCTGTTGTTTGTATGTTTTTGGTTTGTCAAGCCCCAAGTGCTATAACGTTAATTGTTAAGCTTATGTATTCACCTCCAAAACATTCCACGGGTGACAACTTTTTAAGAGGGTTAGGAAGTATATTTAACTTTCTTCCTTTATTCAATGCTGCTTGTAATTTTATGTTGTACTGTGCTATGAGCGATAAATACAGGCAAACCCTTTGTATGATATTTTGCCTGTCAAGGAAATATCGTCATTCTAGAGACAACACGTTTTCATCTACTGCAAGCTTCAGAGCTTCAACTAATGCTCACACATTATTTAATGCTGCAGAACTTCAAGATGTGTGATTCTATTGTAAAAACAATGTATATAAATGTAAACTTTTCAAATAAATTGATGTATATAAATTTTATTTGTACATATCACAAAATTTAACCTACCAGCCTGACCATGCAAATGTCTCCACATATTCATTTGAAATAAACTTTTGAGGTAAGAAAAAAAGTTGCAATTCATCAATTAGACTATGGAAACAAGTCTATTCATTATTCAGGAAATCCATCCTTCAATTCACACAGTATTTTGAAATCAATTTTATCATGCTCAATAATTGTCCAAAAATTGTTGATCTTCATCCTTCATTCGTCAGTAGCATTTTTAATATAAGCTTTAGATTACTTTATAGGTAATCACTTCTTTGATTGACGCCTAATACTTTTTTTTGATTGGCGCCTAATACTTTTTTTTGATTGGCGTCTCATACTTTTTTTTGACTGACGTCTAATGCTTTTTTTCGATTGTCGTCTTTCACTCTTCTTTGACCCGAATCCTGTTACGCCTTTCTTTGTTTTTATCATCTCTAATTCTTGCATAAGTTCTCTAATTACTTTGTCTCTTTCTTCATAGGCCAGATTAATAGCTGCATCACCAGCTTGCTACAAACAAAAATTAAATACCAAAATTATTATAAGTTTTCGTATTATATTAATAACCTATCACCTTTTGTGAGAAATAGGAAAATTCATAAGTTTGATCGAAAACCTCTTGTTTCATCGTCTGAGTACTACTAGCATTTGTTATTGCATTCATGCCTGAAGATATTTCAGATAATTCGGCCTCTGGCATTTCATTATAAAAGTCCCGTTTTGTTGTATCAAGTTCCCCTAGGATTTCTTCGACAGGAGTAGGTATTTCTTCACGAAACGGGCCTAATCGCAATGGAGCTCTCTAAAAATCAGTTCTGTTTAATAATGTGACCATTGTGATTATTAAATTATTCATTTTCTTAATTATATAAGTTTCATTAAAGGTTGAAGTCCTCTTTACAACCTAAGCATTACATTTAAATTGTTGCATTCAGTCAGTATTAATATAAAATGGAAAGGAATTAAAATAAATATGTCTATAAAAGCAAACATAATCAAAATATTTGTACAAATACAGTGCTTTCTCATTAATCCGAATCCGGACAGAAACAGAAAAAGTAATAGATAGTGAATGAGGAAGAGTGAGTGAGTGAGGGTGAAGAGGGAAAGTGAGTCCAGCTTATCCATGAATTTTTATCTTTTGTTCAGTGAATTCTTCACCTCCCTTCACAACTAAAAAATGAAATGTGAGATCAGTCTAAATTTGTCTTGTATTAAGTATGATATACCTACTGCTTAAAAATGTGTGAAAAAGAGGAAGAAACTATGAAAAAATGTTAAATATTAAAAAAAAACTGATTTTTTAAAAGAAAATTTGACAGTATGTATTTTCTAATAGGTTCAACATTTTGTGAATGCAATAGTAAATAATTAATGCCTTCTGTAATCTAAATTTTTCATTAATCAGAATACTCCCATGCACAAATTAGTTTGGTTTATCGAAAGAGCACTGCAATAACTTATTTTATGTTTATTAATTTTGTCATAAATTTTTCACTAAATGAAAAAGAAACTTAGTCTTGTAAGATTTTTTCTTCCATCTGCCAACAAAGTACTTAACTATTACATATATGTAAAGTATTAATAAAATGTTTACTTACAGTAGGTACTGGCTCAAGTTTTACAACAATTGGAATCACTTCGTCTGGCAATTGAAGTGAAAACTTATCAATTAATGGAGGTAGAAGCTTGGCTGAACTCAAATAGTCTGTCGCTATTAATTCATTTTTAAGAGAAGTAGTTCCACTTTTTCTGAAAAAAATATTATCATTAATAAGTAAGCAGAGAAAATACACCCAATTTGCACTAAAAAAGAGCTTTTACAAAAATAAGATACGCTTTTTTACAATATTGTTGTGACCAACTTTAGGGTTTAGATCTATTAGGTTTTGTGGTCCGATTGACCAAATAAATTCTTATCAATTAAGGCTTTGGTTGAGATAAAAAAGACAGTGTCACGAGCAGAATTCGAACCCACGACCTTCAGCTAAATACACCGTTGCTATACCACTTGAGCTATTGTGACTTCGATCCACTTCATTCAATTAAGCCTTAATTAATTGAAAATAATTTATTTGGTCAATCGGACCACGAAACCTAATAGATGTAATAAGCAAAATGAAGTATACTTCACTAAAGCTCTCCATAGCCATTTCATTTGTCGCCGAGAATCAAATAGATTACATATTTGAAAAATGGCAAAAAAGGAGGGCAAATTCGAAAGGTTGGGTTGAGATGGGAAGTTAGTGTCTGAGTGGGTCGAAGTCACGATAGCTCAAGTGGTAGAGCAGCGGCGTATTTAGCCAAAGGTCGTGGGTTCGAATCCCGCTCATGACACTGACTTTTTTATCTCATCCAAAGCCTTAATTAATTGAAAATAATTTAGGGTTTAGGTTGAGATTTAAAACTAATCTTTTAACCTAAATATTTTAAGCACTACAATAGATGACTATGACCTAGCTAATAACATCTGTCATGGCAAATACATAAGTATAAGATTTTAAATTGAATATCAAATTTCACCGTCTAGTTTTCAAGCTTCCCTTTCTTGAAGAACTGCTACTCTTTCTTTTTGTTGTCTGAGGATTATCATCCTGAGGAAGTGGGGGAGAAACTTTAGAAGCCTTTGTCGGAGGAACAGCTGCATCAGAATTAACAACTTCATTTGTTTGTGTTGTTTCTTCATGGTTTTCTTTACCTAAAGAAGAATTTGAAATTAATCCACAAACTTCATGAATGAATGCAATATTCTTTCTTAACTAAAAGAAAGTAGTGTCTTAAAACATACCTTTACCTATACTGTTAATAAAGGTTTGTCTAAGCATTCTGCCAGTTTCTGTACGATTTGGATTTTCAACATCCCAAATAGCAGCTTTCTTTTTAAAAAAAGACTCTTCGTATCGTTTATCAAGAACAAGTTTTACACAGTCACTCTAAAAATAGTATTACATATTAAAAGAAATGACTATTTATAATTGTCTTACTAAAAACTGTTTTAAATCATTCATCAATATTATGCTGAACCAACCAACTTTAAAAATGTGAATTTCATTATAATACTTCTTACATGTTCTTTTTCCGCGTACAAAGCGATTTTCCAGCATGGGCCTCCATCTGTTGAAGGTTTTGTAACATCCTTTGAAGTTGAACTCCTTCTTGAGCGAGTATCTTTGTTCTGTAAAGATTTCACAGACTGGCCTGCAAGACGAGAAAAATTTAATTATAGATGATTAAACAGCATGAAAAGTACTCAGCTGCCATGGACCTGAAACAAGTCTGTGAGAAAGCTAATTAATTATAAAAGTTAATAAAATTTTAGCAACAATTTTTAATTATTAGTTGAATTAGAAATTGTAGTCTTCTCTCGGGGGACAGAAGGGTATAAGGAGGAAAAAATCTGTTTTATTAGTATCAATAATGATATTGTAATTATTTAAAAGTCACAATATAATAAAATAAATTATAATTTTCTTTTAATTTTGTCTTAAAGTAACATTTAATGTAAACCTGATAATTATAAAATTACTGATGGACTGAATATATGTGTTGTTTTTGTAACATAACTTACGGCTCTTCGCGACAGAATCTTTTTTTTTAAGAGATATAATTTTTTCAGCTAATTCTTCTTCTTTCCATTTGATACTTTCTTCTAAAATTTGGGCTTCTTTCGGCTTGAGAGGCCAAGAGTTGAACATAACTTCCACTTCACCACAAAAATAATAAAATCTTTCTAGACCTTCACCAGCTTGTTGAAGTTCTGTAGAAAACTTAGATTATCACTACCATACATTTTTTAGTTAATTACCGCATTATTACAGCCAACAACCTGCATCATGAAAATGAAGCACTATCACTGGTATTATCAATTCACCAACACCATTAAGTTCAATTATTTTTTTGCCATAACACCCAGTTATATTAAGTCGTATTTTTACATCTTTATTTGAAGCAGAAAACCCCAAACTAATAACAACTGATCTTGTCACTTTAATTAAAAACCTATAAATAAAAACACAAGAGCTGTTAATTAAAAAAAGTCATTAAAAAATGGTCATATATCCAATTTTCATAATTAACAGAGATTATACTTTTAATTCAATTAAATATATTTAAATAAATACTTATACTGTTATTAATGAAGAAAAATCAAGTGGTTGGCATATGCAGATGGCATGGTCTTACACACAGTTTCTTATTAGGAATAATCAGCACTTTAGAATAGTACTATCTCATACGGAATATGAGAAATAACGTTCAGGAATGGGGGTGCTGCAAAGAGTGGGAAATGATTTGAATGATTCACAACGTAAACTCTGCTTGAAGCTGTTTTACGATTGTATGGTATACTCCTGCCTTTTATAGCTTGACAGGCTCTACAATCAGAGTCTTTGAGATGTATCTGGTGGATTTAGAACAAGCCCCTGCTACAAGCATGAATGCTGTCATTCCAGAGAGATTGTTGTCAATTTCTTGGCCAAGCTGAGCAAGCCCTTTATGGGCATGATCCTGGGATGGGGAAAAAAAAACAGCCAGGTACATGGAGCGACTTTAGACTTGGCCACAATCCCTGGTTATTTGCTTTGGCAAAGCCCTTGGGAGGGCCAGTTTGACTCTGGGTATAGAATTTGGGCAGGGAAACAGAATTCATTCTGGGTTCTAGTTAACCAGGTTGTGTACACCGCTACACCTGTACCGAGTTGAATTCTCAAATTTCAGTTTTTGCCTTGTCTTTATGAACAGGCCTAGAACTGGCAAGGGTGTTGTTTGTGCCGTTTCATGCTCCAGCGACACTGCAACAAGTACACAGTGGACGTTGCCTCTTCTGATTTTTACTTGTTAACTTAGACTACTTAAAAGGTAGGGAAATTTTGAATGAAAACAATCTGAAACTCGGAATTTGTTTTTCTCTAAGTCATCAGACTTTAACAAAAAGGGGATATTTATTTATTAAAAATATAAGGGTATACATTATGTTCTCTCAAGTTACCCAACATGCCAATAAATAAGTACATTAAATAAACATTAGGTTGTAATATACAAAATTAAATTATTGAACCTGCAAATTTTTGAGCTTGGATTTGGAAAGTAAAGTCCAGTAACTGATTGTGTAACTAGCAATGGATGTGGACCAGGTTCGGATCGACAGTTGTATTTTGAAGGATCCTCATCTAATTCATTTTCCTTCTCTTCAGTAACTTTCTTTGATGTTATTAAACATGGGTGGGGAACATTTTCCCTATCCACGCCATAGACTCTTACTCTCCAAGCTGAGGCAACTGGTTCACCAGCTTTTGCTTCTTCATTTATTTTATATACCACCACAGCATAGCCATTCTTTAAAATAAATAAATAAATTATATATACACACATTAACTTAATAAGTAAAAATGACATACTGCATTTTGCTTTAAATGGATAAGATTATTCGGTGTATATTCAAAAGGTATATGAATGTTGGTGTCAAGGTCGTATACATCCAGATGAACATTTTTTACCTCAGAAAACAAAATAAATCCACACGGAATGTACTATGAAACAAAAATTTTATTTAAATTGTTCTAATTGATTTGAATAATATGCATAAAACCAGTAAAACATGTACCAAGTGCTGTGCTACCAAATTTCTTAAACACTTCTTTAAATCAATCTTATGACTGGTACATGAATTACTAGTTATTTATGTAAATGCTCAGACTTACCATATCGCTATGAACGTTAATAACCATTGTTACAATCGGTACCCAATCTTGATAAGAAAGAGCTGTAGCATCAGACGTTCCTAGATAGTCATAATAGCATAATTTTCTATCATTATCATAACGGAACGGGTACGCTGCTAACAAATCCTCTTCGTATTTCAGCATTTTTCTAAACATTACAGTAAATTTGTTTTTAACTAAGTAGTTAAAATGAACAAATTATGAAAATTGTCGCAAAGAGAGCCAAGTAGGGTATGCAAATGAGATCATGGTAAATAGTAATAAAGCTGGAGTGTGAGGAAATTAATGGGTACAAGATGCTCACTCCCAAAACCTCAAAACAAAAAGAAAAATAACACCTGAAGAAACATCAAATGACAAGCTGAAGCTGGTAGTGAATAAATGAAAATGAAAAAGGAAAGAAAATTTCCTTGCATATAATTTTGCTATGAAATTATTTTTTTTAAATAAATTAAATTTGAATAAAATTATTGTTGGTGATTGATTTAATTATATCAAACTATACACCAGAAATACAAATTTAAAAAAAAGTTGAGATTCTTGAGATTTTTCAATAAAAATTCATACTTTTGTTATTATTAAAATAGCTTGTTTTATGCTTGTTCCTTAATTAAAATTATTAAAATGCTTATTTTCATCGGGAATGTTGGATGCCATTTTTGTTATTTGTTTGTTGTAGTATCGGCCAGGGAAGGAGGTATAATAAAATATCTCCCCTCAACAAATAAACAAAACAAAAAAAAGGTTTTTTATTTATTTGTTATGTTTAAAATTGCGATTTTTATTCATATGATGAGATAACAGACTTAATGAAAATCTAGCACGTTACACATGATAGAAAACACACTCCTTCACACTGAGACCATCAATCGCTCAAGAAATCTCTTGGCCACAAATGCTCAAAACGACACATGGGATTTTCAGGAATGTTGTGACGTGAAAGTTGTTAAACAAGTGGATATGGGTGAAAATTTAAATTTTCATGATAGTTTTTGTATTTGATTTTAATAATATCAATTATAAATGGCACTTGGAGGTCAGTATGGATTGTTACTTTTGAAACAACAGGGCAGTTAAATATTTTTCTAGTATTTGGATGGATTGTGTAGAAATTGAATTTTTTTTTCATTGATCCGAAACTTTAAATCTGCATGTCCATATTGATCTCAGAAGGATCTTGTAAATGGAGAGTTTGTTACTAAGGCTTAGGTTGGATCTATGGTCAAGTAATCTAAGAAGTAATTTGTAGCATCAGATTGGTTCCTTTCTTTTCAGTCGTGCATGGGGATTCCTCATTAGTCTTTTGCCAATGTATAGTCCCAGGTAGCACATAATCCCTGAGCTTAGAATGGGTTTTCCTTTGAAATAGATTGTAGAATATATGGATTTTCGGAGCGTAAAGGTGTTATGGGAAGATTTAGTTTAGTTAATTTTTATTCTACATTTGCAAGACTAAGACGATAGTTTTAAATGGAAAATAGGGAAAGATTATGATTAGATGACAGGATGACTGTGTTGTCTGCAAAAATTTTATAGAAGATCATATAGATTTGTTTGGGAAAACAGGAATGTCAGCTGTGTATATTGTGAATAGGAAGAGCCTTAAATTGACGTCCTGGGGACACTTACTTTAATAGGAATATAAGAAGAAAAGGCAGCCCCAGAGTGATGCGACAGTACTGGTCTGTCAGATAGGATTTTATTATTAAAAGGTACTTGAAAGGAAAGAAGCCTAACAGCTTAAACAGTAAATTAGAGTTCTGTAACAGATCGAACACTTGAGCCAAATCAAAAAAGACATCTGAGCAATACTGTTTATGCTTAAGAGAGAATGATATAGTGCCCATACTGCATCTGTTGTATAGTGGAGTAAAACAAGCGGAAACCAAACTGGTGGTGAGGCGGGATATTTACAGCTTCACCTATTGATATAAATCTTTTTATGAGCTTTCCAAGGATTTTGCCTAGGAGAGGAAGGAGACTAGCAGGATGGCAGGAATTGGATGTTAGATTTTGGGATAATTTTAATTACAGAATATTTCAACTGTGTTGAGAAATATGTTGTCCTTAATACAGTGATGTACAATTCATTTCATGAAGGAAGAAAAGGCTTGGGAGGTAATGTAAATTGGAATGGTGAATTTATTTGTTGTTCAACCTATGTAAGGGTAGGAAGTGAAGACACCAGACAGATATTTTTATTTTTTTAATAGAAATTATATGACCATATTATAAACATATGTTGGTTGGTGCCAGAATCAATGAGAAGAAATTTTATACTGAAGACGGGACAGGCTGCTTTAAAATATAGTTTGTAGATCAATAGAGTTTATTCTATTAAAACAATCATTTAGAAAAAATGAAAAATATAATAAAAAGATCATACCTCAAAAGTGTGGCGTTATGTTTAGGGCCATCAAGAAGATACATTGAGAATTTTCTAAAACAAAAACAATTCTCATAACATTTTTGTGAAAATTAATTATTTTTGCATTTGTAATCAATTAATTTTTTAACACAGCGTGAAAATAAAATAGAATTAGAGATATAAAATAAAATGTTTTTGCTGATTTAATATTATTTTTAATAATAACATAAAAAGCAGGCTCAAAGAAGATAAATGTAACTTTTTAAAAGTTGTAATACTGTGAATCTTGGATAAAATTCAGAGGTCATATTGCTTAATTAATAGTGCATTAAGAGCAAAATAAGGGGAAAAAATATTAATTAAATTTTAACCTTAAGATTTTCTGGTGTTTTAGTGAATTCTCTTTCAAACCATCATAATTTAATATTTTTAATTAAAATGCAAGCGTTTCTGATCTCTAGATGTCGTTCTCATTGTCCCTATGATAAATAGATTTTCTAATCTTTATATGCTCCCTAGGGTTTGGGTAGCTTGTTTTTTGTCTTCTTGTGGTCATTAGTGATATTTTACCTTTTGTCATGATATGCTTCAGGTTCCAGCTGCAGCATTTCATTACAGAAACATAAGCCTTGTATTTCTACGTTTCTTTTCTTAGCGAAAGCAATTAGAATAGTTTTTGAGGGGTTTTCTTAAATCCCTGTTGTCACCTCCATTGTTCCACTGTGATTAGCCCTCTTTGGGTCTCTTTTAATGTTGGGCCAAATTTTCCCCTGGCTACTATGTCAATATCATCTGCGTAGCTTTGGGTATTGATTCCGCTTCCATTTAGTTGGCGTACAAGGTCATCCACTACCACATTCTACACCAGAGGCAAGAGTATTCTTCCTGATATATCCCTCAGTGTATTGTCTTTTTTTTTTTTTGCCTTTGAGTGTATTAGCAAAACTGTGATATAAATTTTATTGCGAATAAAATTTACCAAAGAAATATTTCATACAAAAATAATGATACGTATATGTAATACAATAAACTTATTTTGCTGTGATTTCAAACATTTTGTAGATTTATCTAAAGTATGTATAAAACAACTTACCCATCATTAATAGATTTGTCCGTTTTTTTCTTATCACTGGATCCTCCTCCTTTTGTTGATGCACCTTTTGTAGAACCTTTTGTACTTTTTGTAGATGATCTTCGAATTGATTTCTTTGCGGATTGCCTTCTTATGGATTTCTTAGATGACTGTCTACGAGTTGATTTCTTTGCAGATTGCCTTCTTATGGATTTCTTAGATGACTGTCTTCGAGTTGATTTCTTTGCAGATTGCCTTCTTATGGATTTCTTCGATGACGGTCTTCGTATTGATTTCTTGCCAAGATTGCCTTTTATTGATTTTGACCTTTTCCCGTCAGAAGTAGCTTCCTTGAAATAAATGTACAGACATAACAACACTACTCATTGACTTGTTACCAAGCTATTATACTTCATCTTTGTCTATAGAATTGATCCAAGCTTTCTTTGTATCCCGAAACTCTTGAAGCAACTGCTGTTTAACTTCTTTAATTTTTGTTAATGTTGGTATATATTGAGGATATTGACCTTTTTCCAGTGCTTTTTCTCCAAACTGATAAGTACAACACAATTAATTTTTTAAAGTTATTAAATTAACAAAAATACTCACATCTGGATTTAAAAAAAAATCTTGAAAACCTCGTATAATTTGAACACATTTATCAATATCAGGTTCATTCTCCATAATCAATTCAACCACTTTCTCTTCAAATAACTAAATTGATTTTAATATAAATAATAAAGGAAATAATGGTACGACAAATATTTTGCGCGTATACATTTTTTAACCAGTCACAAATTTGCAAACATTAATTATTATAGGCTTACTTCTTCTAATTTGACTATGTTAAGACATCCTTTCGGATCTGCTGGTGAAGGCAAATTTTGAAATCTTAAATTTGGAGGACAAAAGGCTCCAATGTACTTTGTTATGCATTCTCCTTGAGTAACACTGCCCAATGGCGCTTTCATTAATTTTGAAAATATCTCTGCCATATCAGCTACAAAAATATAAAATGTAATTTAAATGAAATATCAATTTTTTCAATATGGAAATTATTAACAGAACTTTCGTGTCAACAGAACTGACCTCCGTATGTCATATACGATGCAGTTTCGACAGATTGCATATTTAAAATCTCTTCTTTGCTCGTCAAATAAAACTGGGTCCTTGAATGGAATGAAATATAATTAAGACAAGGCAAGTTATACCAGAATCTGCAAACTTGTAACCTAAAAAGTAGCAAAGTAAAAATACAAAAGAAACCAGCATAAAAAGCAAAAATTTGACTTCAAAATTACCCTGGTCCTAAATTTATAGAGTGAGTTCGAGTACCTCTTGTTCGTATGCTAAACCAAATTGGCCCTTGTGATGTACTCTGCCAATTATAACCCTCACAAGCAATGTATCCGTATGTGTCGTTTTTTTCACAAAGAGTTGTCAATGTAACAAATATATTCTTGCAATTTGGTGAATCACTAGCTAAGTTAGTGAAACAATAACGTATGTTTTACTTCATAAAACAAGAAAAATACATGTCCAATATATACCAAGAAAAAAGTGATCTTTAAAAGTGTTAGCCGGTGCTGGGATTTGTTTATCTTTTTCCATTAATTTGGGTAAATCAACAAAAACATTATCCATAATTTTCTCAATTTCAAAGTAACTTCTTTTGTAATATATATCCAATTTCCTGAAATGATTATGATTAATTGTATTTGGGTCTTGGGACTGTCTGGCTTTTTATTTAAATTTTATTCTCCTTTCTTCACTTTTAGAATAAACATGATCAAGAATCACCTTACCACTCACTGAAGGTTTTTAGTTATGGGATGACACAGAATCAGAGATTTGTTAGACTTAAATACAAATTTGACTTATCAAGAGTTGACTGTACAATGATAATTTATTTTTCAAATCTGATAAATCTGTCTCATCACTTCAACTTGTGTCTTACCTGAAATGTCTGTAAATTTTGTTATACATGTAAGCATCTGATTTGAAATATCCTGGTAAATGAGTTACTAAGAAGGCATCTCCCACATCCTAAAAACCGAGAAGAAATATTATTTACATATTTAATGGTGTACTTTTTCTTTGTATTTTTCAAATAAATTATTTATTTTTTAATTAGGAAGATGTACTTGTCAGTAATGCACTGTTATTTTCTTCCAACAATTAAACATAACAAATCATGGAAAGATAAACAAATGAAAAAAGAACTATTTGACTACATTCCATCTCATCAAATACTTCAAATAAAAAATAAGAACAACACACTTTATACATAAGAAGTACAAAAGTCCATTGTTAATAATTACCTCTTTCACTTCACTAGGTGTTTCAACAAATATATGATTCCCTTTCTTTAGTGGAACAAATAATTCTAATATTTTTCTTACTGTACCAGGTTTTCCTAAAACATTACACAATTATATAATATGTATCTAAGGCTAAGTGTGCAAGCCAATAAGGAAATAAAGGACGCAAGGCAAAGACCCTGTAAATGCGAAGCAACACGCACAGGAGATTTTGAAGAGATGCCGATTTTAAAAACGCACAAAAAGGGCAATTTTTCAGTTAGTGCAACTATCACTTGTAAATCGCCTTCCATATATATAACATTAATTGTTTCAATTTGGATGAGAGTATAGGCGATTTTTTGTTGCCTCAATATGCATAATGTCGGTTTATGGGCCAATAAACAGCTGAGGTCATTATCAGCCCTCTGTGTCTTTTTACTTCTTTTTCTGATCTTACATGCATATTTTTTTAAACTGCAGCCATGAGGATGTTGATCAGGTTACTGATTCTACTTTTATATGTCTCCTATGTTGACAAACCTCTTGCTTGTACCGCAGGTTGTCAACAACCAACCCAAGCACCATGGCCGACAGGAACCCCCATGCCAAAACCTGAACACGCCTCAGCAAGGTGGCACCCAGTAGGACACTCAATCCTTATACTGTTGGATACGTGCTCAGCTGTTATTTTATTCTTGCATAATGGTCACTCACAGACATTTTCTGGCCAGAAAGTGCCCGTAAATTATTCTTGTGTGATCTATACAAATCTTGTCAGTATGGCTTTTTCCCTTTTCAACCATGGATGTGTGGATCAGGGACTGCCATTTTTCTTAACCTGTTACAGTTTGGCAGGACTCTTTTGTCAGCCTCTTTGGCCTCTAACTTCATGTGTCCTTCAAATTACACATTTACTAAACAATACTATAGTATATAGATAAGTTTGTTACAATTTTGAGCTCTGATTGTTTATTAGCAGTAGATCAACGTAAATGACATATATTTGTATGTTCATGTAATGAATTGTTATAATCAAGAATCTATGTTATTGTATATTGAACAAGGAAATAATAGAATATATAATTTCAGTCTTTCCAATTTTAATATTTTTCACCACTTTTCTTGGTTTATTACGCATTTTATTCAAGCAGTCAAAAATAGGTTCGCACTATAGCTAACAAATACATAGCAACTAAACTGCCAAATAATTTTATTTTATACTCATACTGATTTTGTAAGTGGTACTATTTTTGTAAGGGCAGTTGAAAATGCTTAATCAATTTTGTAATCTTACCTCGTATAATTCCTCGGTCCAGAGCCCAGTCAACCCAACGAATATTTTTCCATTTTGGATCACACACTGGAATTTCGTCATTCAAAGCAGTTTTCACATAAGCTAAACCTTCGAAACAAGGTATAAAAAAATGTTCTGTTTCCTACAAATATAAATGATGTTTTGGTTAAGTGTGGTAAATAATTTACAGTATTTTAGATTTTTGTATACACTAGAATAAATTGAAATATGTTGATGATTAAAAATTAATTCAACTCATTAGGAAAAAAGACAAATTTTAATCATATTTGTGTGCATGATTTCTGAAGGTTTCATGGAAATGATTTACATAGTAAAATTTAACATATACACATAGTGCTCTCTCCCTAATCGGAACTTCAGTACTCCCAACATTCCAGTAATCCAAATTGGGAAAAAAAAGATGTAAGAATTTTGAAGGAAACAAATGAAACATTATTTGGGGAGGAGGGAGAGAGAGAAGAGAGAAAGAGAGACAGAAAGAGATAGAGAGCAAGAAGGTCAAACAAAAGACCAAGATCAGCTATACCAATTTTTGAGAATTTCTTTTGTTCAGTGAACAACCTCATCTCCCTTCAATACTAAAAATGAAGTGTTAAACCTACTGTTTAAAATTGAGTGAAAAAGAGGAAGAAGCAATGAAGAAAATGTATAAAAAAATGTAAACTTTTTTTAAATGAAAAACTGACAAAATATGTAAGTATTCTAAAGTTTTAACAATTTGTTGTGTGCAATAATAATAAAGTGTGTCGAATTCTTAAAACCATTTATTTTGGTATTCAGATTGTCATTTAAATTTTTTAATGTTGAATATTACTTGTTTGTGTCTTTCATTAAGATTTTAAATAAGCTTTAACTTTTTTTTTAATTGTAATTAAATTTCTCGTTTAATTCAATTAAGCTTTTATTTTAAAATTTTAAATTAAATTATAATGCTTTTATTATAAGTAACTAAATCTTATATATGGACTGCGATGGCAGTGTTAGGGTGTCTGAATCATATTTGCCAAGTTATTGGTTCTGGGTTTAAATCCTGACATAGCATGGACTTTTATTTTAAATTAATTTGGAAAAAAGTATTATAAAGTGGTTCTGACCCTTTGTCTATGATACCCAAAGCGTGCTCAGATGTTAAGCCCTCGTATACAACAGTAATTACTTTACTAACTTTTTACTTGCATTAATTCTTATAATCAGAGACAATTAGAGCTATTTTTTTTATCCTTTTTCAAAAATTATTTGGAGTTTGTGAGATGCTCTCACTAACATTCTCAACAAGACACACAACGTGACACATCTACACAGAAAACACACACTTTGAGCCCTGAAGATGATCTAAATAATAATCAAAACATTGGCATAATAAAAAATGTTTTTCTAAACCTACATCATACAAGACTGCATCTCACGATCTCCAAATAATCATTAATTAACAGTACTAAATTCTACATACATATTTTTCAAAGGTTCATGCAGTAAAATGAATAAAGAATTTATTATGATTAAAGGTAGCTTTGCTGTTAGAGAAATAATTACTGCTTATCTTATGGTGGGGCAAATTTACTAAATATTTTGAAGTTCATTAAACTTCCATAAAATAATTCCCACCCAAAATACAGAGTATTACCTTTGAGACACTGAGTATATTATCTCAATTAATGTTTTATAAGTTAATAACAAAAAAATCTCATTAAATCTACCTCCATAACCTCGGGAAGATGCACGAATACAGACCGAGATTTTGGTTTGTCGAGGAAAATATCCATGGCATCAAATATACATGTTTTGGGATTAACTGAGTCACATATTCGTTCTGGAGAATGTTTTCCTTCGATACAATGCCCTTGAATTATTTTCCAAATCGGCTCCTCCGTCATGAGGCTTACATCAATCGAATTGCAAATCCAACCAGTCAGTAATGATATTACATTGAAGTCAAAGGTTTCATCGACTGAATTCCAAGAAAGAGCTGCAACTTTCAATAAGCCCTTTGTGAGGAGTTGCATCCAGATGTTTTTACTTTCTCGTGATCTAAGAAGAAGCAAATTTCCATTTTCGTCATATGGAAAACTATCATCGACAACAAGTCTTCTCCATTTGCCCTATATTTAATCAAAGAAAAGGCTGTGGTTACAATAAAGCTTTTTGTTAATGAATAGTGTAAACATCTCCTTATTGTATACTATGCATTTTCTAGAGGATGTATACAAATTACATATAGGAGGATATATACAAATTATTTTTTACATCAAACCTAAATTAAATATGTTGAGGTTGGCAACTACAAATAATCATTTGTATTTATATTTTACATACAGTCACCGAACATTTTTTTTACACTCTTTAGACTGAGATAATAATTATCTTATCTATTTAAGAGGGACATAAAGTAAATTTTAGATACTTGCCATAAAAAATAATCGTATTATATACATTCCACAATTATTATACTGTGGAGAATGTTTAGTTTTTTCGCCAACTGGTGTCAAGGCATAAACATGATCTCTTGGATTCCAAAATTCTCCACTGTTTGGAATATATGTAGAAGTTTGACAATCTTTAACAAAAGGATTAGCTCTTCCGTCTGTTTCCAGGCACATGACACTTGATATAATATGCCTCATAACCTAGATGTCAGTAAATGTATAATATGCGTAAAAATAAGAATAAATATTAATTACTTTCGATTTCACTAAATGTCTGTTTGGCGTCCACAAATCCAAGGGGCCAGGCTCAATATCAAGAGAGTACGCAATGTTTGGATTAACAATACAGGGTCGTTCCCATTTGTGAACAGGCAAGGATTTTGGCATAAACTCTTTCCCTTTTGGATCAACGAACAATGGTTCTTCTTCCTAGTTGACAACCGAAATTGTATATTCAACCTCAAGAAAATGGTTGGATAATTTTATATTAAAATATGATCAGGGATGAGACCAATCATCACTAATTATATCCACTATATCACTGTTTAAACTAAAGTTAGTTATACTACAATATTCTTTCAAAAATTTTCAAAAGTTGTTTTACATATTTTACTATTACTATACTATCATTAACATGGAAGGCATGTATTTTTCAACATAAACAACCTTTTTTTAATTGATTAATTTTTTATTACTACTATATCTCTCGCATTACAGAATCAATTTTTTTTAAAAATTTCATTTATTTCCATCCATAACTGAACATGTATTGTATACAACCAGCAGACAGGATTTCAATTTGTGATTGTGACCAGTCCAGCAGAAGTTAAAAGCGTATTGAAACGCTGGAAAGACTGGCAGGTCAGCTGGACTACCATGTCCGAAATGCTAAAATCAGTGAAACCTCAGGTCCTGGAGAACATAAAAAATAGAGAAAGAATTATTCTCACATGTATAACAAATACAGAGTGGCGCTGGCCCGAAGAGAGAGGGAGGGAGGAAGAAACAAGCAGAGTTGGGAAGGACAAGGGGAGTTATGAACGGTACCGGGTGAAGAGAGGACTTTTTGGGGAGCTGATTATCTGCCCTTCTTCAGACATCCAGGCTTCAGTATCATACAAGAGGGCTCGTTTCACATTTTGGAGACCAATATTCAAACAAAGCTTCCTCGACTTCGAAACCAGTTTTCCTTCTCTCTACAGGATCAGCAATAGCGAGGCAAGAATTATCAATTTACATACAATTATACAATACAATTATCAACCATCAACTTAGTTTGTCATTTTTCCCTAATTAAATTAATATAAGGTATTCAAAAGGATACTATTCATAGTAAAGCAAGCATGTATGTGCATAGTTTTCAGCAATTTTGCTCATAGCACATGTACTTTTGTATGTTGTTTTTTTTGTTTGTTTGCTATACTATGAATAGTATCCTTTTGAATATCTTATATTAATTTAATTAGGGAAAGATGACAAACTAAGTTGATGGTTGATAATTGTATGTAAGTTGATAATTCTTGCCTCGCTATTACTGATCCTGTAGAGAGAAGGAAAACTGGTTTTGAAGTCGAGGAAGCTATTTTTGAATATTGGTCTCCGATGTGTGAAACGAGTCCTCTTGTATGATGATCCTAAAGCCAGGTTGTCTGAAGAAGTGCAGATAATCAGCTCCCCAAGAAGTCCTCTCTTCACCCGGTACCATTCATAACTCCCCTTGTCCTTCCCCTCTCTGCTTGTTTCTTCCTCCCTCCCTCTCTCTTCAGGCCAGCGCCACACCGTATTTGTTATACATGATTAAGGATAAGGCACACCCACCTGACACATGGGAACCTCTTCATCGGACTGATACCCAGGTGTCCCCTGTGCAGCGCAACTGTGACAGTCAAACATATTTTGGAAGTGTGAATGATTAGCGCCGCACAGGATTCGGCGTAGCCTGCTTAACAATATGTCGAAAATATTAAAGCTGATGTAAAGATAAACTCATTGAATATCTAAAACTGATAAACGTATATGGTTACACAAAACCCCTCACATATATATTTTATATCTTCTCTTGGTATTTATTTGCATGCATGGTAAGTATGAATGGATGGTCTGTGGCTGGAATATAATTTACCCCACAGACCTGTCGAACTAGTTAGGTATAGAATAGGTTCTTTTTACTCTGGTTTTGCCTCTCTCTCTTTCTGTATATGTATGTGTATGTATGTGTGTGTGTGTGTGTGTGTGTGTGTGTGTATGTATGTATGTATGTATGTGTTGCTATAATATTGAATGACCTTAGCCGTTAAAAATGCCCTAAAAATTAATAATAGTAATAACAATAATACAAATATAAAACAAAAAGATTTATCTACATTTTTGAAAAATGTGCCTTCCATGTTGAAATTACAAATATACATCACCATTCTATTAAAATTATATTTAGGTGAGAAAATTACATATGTTTTAAATTAAAGTAAACAGTTACATTGAAATGATTAAAATTACAATAATTAAGAAAAAAGGAGAGGTAATTACATTTGTTAACATATGATTAAAAAGTATGTGAAATAAATTATGGACATTTATAATTTAAGAAAAAAGTTGTTATACACAAAATATTATTACATATTCTAGTTTGGGGTTTGATTACCTGTTCTGCATCTGCTGGGCGTTTGTCACCTTTTTTGCCATCTTTGTGCCCAAGAAACGTTTTCTTTGGAGCCACTGTTTTTCGAGGAGCCATAGAAACTGATTGGCCTCCACTTGAACCTGATTTACTTCCGCCTGAAACTGATTTCCTACCGCCTGCAACTGATTTCCTTCCGCCTGCAACTGATTTCCTTCCGCCTGCAACTGATTTCCTTCCGCCTGCGACTGATTTTCTTCCGCCTGCGACTGATTTCCTTCCACCACCTTTTGCAACTGATTTTCTCGAAGCTGATGCATTATTTCCACTGGCTCTAGAAACTGATTTTCTCCCAGTGCTTGCAACAGATTTTCTACTACCTGATACAGACTTCCGGCTGCCAGCAACAGATTTCCTTCCACCGCCACCTGCAATCGATTTCTTCTTTCCACCAGTGATAGACTTCTTGGCAACTGACTTTCTGGACATAGATTTTCTAGACACAGATTTTCTCGAACTCTGCCGTCCCGATCCTGGTCTGCCCGATATAAAATCTCCAGGAGGGGTAGTTTTCCAGTCAAGCTTGTTAACCAACTGATCATTCCAGAAAGGCCAAGGTGGTGTGAATGCATCTATTTTGGTCACTTCACTTCCATGTGTACTATACATTTTTGTCCCCGGCTAGTTATTTACAAAGTCAAGAAGTATAAATAAACTAGATACAATTACACATCTGATTAAAAAATATATAACTAAATATATCATTTGTTATCATACAAATTTTCAAGTTTATTTATTAAATTTTTTGCAAATTGATTATGATACGCTGCACTGATTTTAGAAAGAAGTGCATACGGAGTTTCATAATAGTCTTCCCTTGTACTTTCTAAGCTGTCGTGCTGATAACCAGCTATTCTAAATCCTAGTGCTGTCAATTCAATACAGAATGCCTTATCTTCAAGAGTTGTGATGTTGATAAAAATGTGTTGTCCGCTTGATGGAATCGTACTTAATTCTGCATGTTTTGTCAAATCTTTTATGTCATTAATAACACCTCTGGCCTCGTCTTGCCAATTCAGTTCAGGAGAAGATTCTTTATCGTATCGTTCATTCCTGCCAAAAACAAAACAAGTTTTACAAAAACCACCTTAACTAAAATAACTTCGGTTAATAAAATAAGGCTAATAACTCTTTTAAACTTTTACTTTAAATGAGAGTACATGACTAATAACGTATTTAGATAAATTTTCATATTTTATAAAATACAGTGCTCTCTCAGTAATCTGCTGCAGGGGATTCGGATTAGATGAGGGTGTTAAACAATAGCAAATTTTTTTTTATTAACACAACACATTATATTGCATACACAACAAAAATATAGACTGATTTAACAATTCATTCACACATTTTTAAGCAGTAGCTATATTATATTTAACACAAGAAAAACATAGGCTGATCTAAGTTCTAACATTTAATTTTTTTCGGGGACTGCAGTAACTGTGTGGTTGCGTGATTGACTCTCGGCTCATAGACCCGGCCCCTGGCCCTTCACAACCCTTCCAAAAATAAATAAATAAATAAATAATAAAAAAATTGGGAGGGATTCACTGAAAAAAATAAATTCTAGAAAATTGTTATGGTCTAAGCTTCTCCCACTCACTCATACAAACTCTCTCTCCTCTCTCACTATCACTTTTTATCTCTCTTTCTCTTGGTCCATCTCTCTTTTTCTCTCACATGCTCTCCTCATTCATTTCTCTCACTCACACTATCTTTCTCTCTTCCCCCTCAAATAATGTTTCATTTGTTTCCTTTAAAATTCTCACTTCTTGAATTTTTTCCATTTCGGATTAGGGAGTGAGCACTGTTTATAAAAATAAAAAATGATTGAAAACTTGTCACTAAAATCGAAAGTGTTTTAGAAAATATTTCTTTCAAAGCCCATTTTCTCCATTACAAAATAGCTTTTAACATACAAAAATCAAATTAAGGTATACTTTTTTATACGTAAGTGAATATATAGATATCGGCAATCTCTAAAGTCCAAAGAAAAAATTCCAGAAAATTGTTATAGTCTAAGCTGGGCTAAGTCTTTTGTGTGACTCCTCTCACTCACTCTTACAAACTCACTCACATCTCTCCTCTCTCACTTTCACTTTTTATCTCTCTCTCTCTTTCTCTTGATCCATCTCTTTTTTCTCTCACACGCTCTCCTCATTCATTATCTCTCACTCACACTACCTTTCTCTCTTTCCTCTCAAATAATGTTTCATTTGTTTCCTTTAAAATTCACACTTCTTGAATTTTTTTCCATTTCAGATTAGGTAGTGAGCACTGTTTATAAAAATAAAAAATGATTGAAAACTTGTCACTAAAATCGAAAGTGTATTAGAAAATATTTCTTTCAAAGCCCATTTTCTCCATTACAAAAAAGCTTTTAACATACAAAAATCAAATTAAGGTATTCTTTTTTATACATAAGTAAATATATAGATATCGGCAACCTCCAAAGTTCAAAGAAAAAATTCCAGAAAATGTTACAGTCTAAGCTGGGCTAAGTCTTTTGTATGACTCCTCTCAATCACTCTTACAAACCTACTCACATCTCTCCTCTCTCACTTTTTATCTCTCTCTCTCTCTCTCTTTCTCTTGGTCCATCTCTCTTTTTCTCTCACACGCTCTCCTCATTCATTATCTCTCACTCACATTATCTTTCTCTCTTCCCCCTCCAATAATGTTTCATTTAAAATTTTCACTTCTTGAATTTTTCCCCAGTTCTGTTTAGGGAGAAAGCACTGTATATAAAGATAAAAAGTGATTGAAAACATCACTTAAATCGAAGTGTATTCAAAAATATTTCTTTCAAAGCTCATTTTCTCCATTACAAGAAACCATTAAACATAAACAAAAAATCAAATTAAGGTATACTTTTTTATACAAATATAAATACATGGATATCAGCAACCTCCAAAGTTGTAAAAAAAAATTCCCCTGGTTAAATATTGTTTGTTATTACGATTGATAAAAAGTACTCAAAGTAATTCGTACATACATTTTTACACGTAGTACCCAAAATGCCGGAGTAGTTACGATTGATTCGTGTTGATAAGTAATTTGAATATAATTTAATTAAATTGGGGAAAATTTTGTTAAGGAGGTTCTTCTGAGGTTGATTCAGATGAGGCAGCAACAGCATCAGCCAGCGACCAGCACGCGCCCAAATGCACAACTACATGCGCACCGGGCACCAGCATCGCTGTTTAAAATGCCAATTCTTCAGTTCGGACTTCGGCCTGGTCACTTGCGAATTGTAAGCAAAAAGCGCATTTGTTAAATTTTAATTGTTTTATCACCTAAATCTACATTTTTATTTAGATTTAATTATCTATAACTTTATGGTTTAATGCTGGATTTTTAATAAATACAGTATATTATTCTATTATTAAGTACATTACAGGAAAATTCTCAAATAGTACAGTTTTGAATAATAGTTAACCTAACAATATTTATAAATGAGGAGTAAGACATATGTATAAAATTTATACACAGCTTAACATATGCCAAGTGCAAGATTAAAAATAAATCTGGTAGATAATGCAATACAGTACAAAATAGAAACTTAATAGAAACAGCACAAATTATTTATTACCATGGCAATTTTATTCAAATTTGTCTTAAACGTATCAAATTTACAGCCCAGAAACTCATGTTACCAGTTATCATCAAAAGTACATTGATAGATTGATGAATAGATTGACACTGACCGTAAAGAGTTTGATGAAATTTATGATAACATATCAATTCCTTCTACTATGAACGAGGAAATTTATTTTGTTTAATAACTCTGGACAATAATCGATTCTATTCACCAACGTCCATAAAAAAACGTATGGCAAGGACTAAACTACAATATTCAAGCAGAATATTCCTTTTCGTCCTATCTGAGCTTAGTTTTAAAAACCGTGTATTTCACGAATTATCTCTTATTGTAATTGTTACACAATTTCAGACCAAATTGTATCCCATAATTTTGTCATAACAGTACCATTAATACGTTGTTGTTTTTAATGTTAGAAATTGGACATTTCGTGTAGGTTGAAGTTAGGCTCCAGGGACATTTCCTCCCCAAACAAATTTTTTTCCTAATCATAATCACACTCTCACTTTAACTTGTGCGTTAAGGATAAGGCAATCTTGAATAGAATTACATTACTTTAATTGGTACATATCAGTACATATAGTAGAGGATCAAGGGGAAAAATGCACTGTCTCTCACAGCTCCACAGAAACTGTTTTATTTTCCCTATTGTCCTGGCTTATTGAGAAAATAGTTCTTCCTGCTTCCCCCTTTTTCTATACTATTTCACACCCTCGTGTTTAAATACGTTCTTTTTAATGTACTTGTGCATATAGCAATCATTGCTTTAATGGTGTGCAGATGAATAGCTGGGGAAAATTGGAAAATCGTGATGGTGAAACCTATTCTCACATATGGCGCCATAGCCTGGGCCGATAAAATTAAACAAATAACAAAATGAAGGGAACTGACAAAAATAAAGAGACTTGCACGCATCTGTTTAATGGGAGCGATTATACATAGATCTAGATTACAAGAAGGTATAGGGGCAGGAGTATTTGGTCCTTCCAATCTGAGGTTGCAATCAAGAGAAGTACTCAATTAAATTTGAGTGTGATACAACAGCTCTTAAAGGGCGCAGTATAATATACCCAACCAATATACCTAAAACCATCATTCAAATACATGCAGCCAAAAAATGTTGCCTAATATTGGTCATAGTAGGACACATTTAGCAAGCCAGGTTTGTTCATGCATCTATCTGCTCGTAGCATCAATCGATGCAGTTGTAGATGTAAAAACTTATAACTTGTGCTAGTAAAAAGTTTATACACCTTACAGTCAACAGACATGTACAAATATATTATTTAAAATTCAAGATCCGTAGCAGTTTGGACAATAAAGTTTAACTGCTAGCTGCTAATTTTGTCACATGATGCATTCAGTCCTTAAATAATAATATTGATATGATGATTTATGATTTAACAATATTTATACTTTTAATTTTAAACAAAATTAAAAAGAATTATGAGAATAATTTTCAGGAAGTGTAGATAATAAATATAACATGATGTAATAAATTAATTGTAATTTGTTTGAAATTTACAAATTATGTGATTATAAATTTTAAGAATTACAAGATAATTATAATTTAATTTCTTTTGAACTTGTAGCATCGTAATATATGTACAATTGAAGAAGGAATATGGTTTCATCTAAATATAGTTCAGCTAGTCTCAATTTTTTAATTGTAGCTTCAACTGACTCCATCAGAGATTTTTCTGGGGGTGTCATCCATTCATCAAGCTGCAAAGAAATTTGTCATCAAATATAATGATTCAAGAACATAATAATATGTATTAAGATATTTACCAATTGTTTAATATACTGCTCATCTTCACCTTGCTGCTTCATCGTCTGAGCAACAGAATTTAATTTTTCAAATTTATCTATCATCCTTAAATTTTCATTTTTTTCATGATTTGCCCTTTTAAGTGTGTTGTAAATAGCTTTATAACACATTTCCAAAACTACGTGTACAACCTTTAATCAACAGAATGAAATCAATTTTATAAACAATAAAACTGAACTGTCTGCTTTAAGGTGGATTTTTCTTTTCAATTTATATTTTACCTGGTTAAAATCAACGTGGAAAAGATAAAAATTTTTATTGAGGCCTGCAGTAGCGGATTTTTTCAGTTCTTGCATGTGAAGAAAACTCTCCTGTAGCAGCCTGTATGTCAACTGCTTTGCTTCCTTATCAGGAATCATTGCAATTTTCTGCAGCTGTTCTTGGTCGATGAATTTTTTACTGCGTACCAATCTAACAAATTTTTTTAAGATAAATAAATATATAATTGCACACATGCACTTCAGTATTAATGACAATCCCTTCCTTGTGCTTCAGACCATAGGTGGGCCAATGCTGTCGTGCTCTTGATAAGTAAGGGCTTCTCGGACAATCCGACTCATTGATGCTGCCAACGTTGTTTTATTGTGTTCTTTACTGATTGAGCAGTATCACTAGTGTTGGATCACGTAGTTCAGTCTGGAGGCCAAATCGTTCCTACTTTCACCCCCACCCAATGTGCCCAGGTACTTAGACAACTACCACCGTTTTTCCGAGGCACTCCAGTTCACCATATCTCTTTAATAAGAGCCCTACTAGAGGGCCCACCATGAATCTGTCACGGAAAGCCAAAACTGCACTCAGGGAGTCGGTATAAGTGAGGTAGGCAAAGCCTCCAAGTTGAAACACCCTGAGCGCATGATAGATGCACACAACTCCAACGTAGGTCGGTAGAGGTGTGGTGATGTAAGCAACCAGGCTAGTACCACAAATTCATCCCAAACAAGTTCTGCCGGGAAGACCGGTTTCCCAGCTCTATTACCATCCCTATAACCGACCCTCCCTAAGGCTTCACTGAAGCGAATACCAGGACTAAGTCTGGATTGGAATTCTCTCGAATACCTGACTATACTTTTTATTTTTATTTTAAGGATCATATCCGTCAAGGGCCTTGGTCCAGAAACCAATAAAAAAGAAAAGAAATCAAAGAAAATTGAATAGTTAATAATATAAATAAAATTAACCTGAATATCCTTGCAGCTTTACAGCCGAATCTATGTTCAACAACACTCTCAATTGTTGCTGCAGTTAAATTACTAAATGCTGCGACTAAATTCACATAAACAGAAGCAGTACTTCCTTCTCCTATTTTCTTAATAAAACTGCAAGAGTCTTCATCTGAAATTGGTATTGAATTAAACATTAAATTTTCATTTAAATAAAAATAAAACTCAATAGTTACCTATGACTTTAATATACTGATCAAGAAATTGAGCAAGATGACTGCTTTTTTTATCGACCTCTTCCCTAATTTCATTTAAAGGCACAGGGTTAGACTGAGTTGCCCAAGGTTCTGTCCTTAAATACATTTGATTTAAGGCAACTTCCATAAAAGTAGCTGAATAAGAATCAAATCTTCGTCTTATTCCCTCAACCATAATTTCATCCCTGTAACATTTCCGAATGAACACAACTATTGGAATATAAAATTCCGACTAGTTTTCCTTTCAATACCTCATGTCTTGGTGAAATCTATCAAAATTACACCTCCACAATATATCGTGATCTTTGATGCTATGTAAAGAAGTTTCTCCTTTCCACAGCTTCAATAACATCGGTACATCAATTTCAGGCATTTTGTAAAGTTCACTCTCATTGACAACGAGTTTTGGTACCCTATCATTACCATCTTCACTGGGTGATGGGCAGCGCATTAAATACTGGTTTTGAATTAATCGATGAAGGGCATCAGAGAGACTTGTCATGCTCTTAGGTAGTACAGCAAGAGCTCCTAAAATATGAAAAAATATTAATTTGTAATAAGTAGACGCAAACAACTTACTATCTAGTTTTTTAAAATGCAAGTTTTTGAGGAGTGATAAAATCACTCTATTAACACACTGCCTGTGTAAGACGCAACATGTGCGCTATGCCAACTGCCCATCTAGGTGCAGTGGTTGCACGGTCTGCTCCCTCCCATTTATACTTTTTAAACTCTACTTCCACTTCACCCCCTCAGAAAGGATTGGCTGCGGCCGTTTCAATTTTTTTCCAACTAGAAATGATCTTTTTAGAACGCAATTTTTATCGACTACACATCCAAATTGAACAAACACTCTGCAGGTTGTCTACTTCATTTACTTAGAGCTGTAGGGAACTTAACTATTGTGTCATATAGTTTACCTCATGTAGATAAACATAACAAAATAAAATAATTCACCATTTTCGTGGTCCTCTTGACCAATTAATACAAGACAATTAATTAAGATTTTTAGTTGAGATGAAAAAAACCTTAAAGAGATGAAAAATGGCAAAAGGAGGGAAAACTCATAAGGTGGGGTTGAGATGGGGAGTTGATGGCCGAGTGGATTGAGGTCACGATACCTCAGGTGGTAGAGCAGCGGCGTATCTAGCCGAAGGTCGTGGGTTCGAATCCCTCTCGTGCCATTAACTTTTTTTCATCTCAACTAAAAACCTTAATTAATTGTCTTGTATTAATTGGTCAAGCGGACCACGAAAATAGTGAATTAATGATTTAAAAATGAAGTACACTTCACTAAAGCTCTCCGTTGCCATTTCAATTGTTGTCAAGAATCCAAACCGATTACACGACATTTGAAAAATGGCAAAAGGAGGGAAAACTCATAAGGTGGGGTTGAGATGGGGAGTTGATGTCCGAGTGGATCGAGGTCACGATAGCTCAGGTGGTAGAGCAGCGGCGTATCTAGCCAAAGGTCGTGGGTTCGAATCCCTCTCGTGCCATTAACTTTTTTTCATCTCAACTAACAACCTTATTTAAAATAAAATAAAATCATATACATGATTTTTAAGTAACAGTTTTTTTACATTATAAATCTGATTCAGTCATGGGAAACAAAACGGCTAAGCATAGGACGCCATCAATGAGTCAATAAAAATTTTTGCACTTACTTAATATCTTTTAAATAATTTATAGTATACACTTAATGAGATATAATAAATAAATAATGGAAAATATGATAAACGATATTATAATTTGGTTGTTACTGATTTGAGGCTACCTATCCTTGCTGGATTAGTCTGTTAGACCAAAATGATCGCTAATGACCAAATTACAGGTTCATCACCCCACAGACCATAGGAGGAAATCTCACAATTTACCATGATAAAGGTTGAATGATTAAAACGTTTACATTTTTATTCAAACTTGTTTTAATTAAGATAACAAATTATTATAATTACCGTCTTGAATTTTTGTCCAAACGTTCAAAATAAGCTTTGGTGCCGATATACAGCCACATTGCAAAACCTCATCGATTATCAATCTTGATATTTCACCATACTTGTCATTTATCAGAGATAAATACCTAAAATTTCAAAATGCTATAAATTTTGTGTTATGTTCAACACTTTGAAATATATTCACATTTATAATCAAACAATTGAACAATTTATTTTATTATGAAGATAAAATAATAAGAGATGAGAATTTACCTTGGATATCGTAAAAGTAGTAATATTTTATCCGGTAGTAACCTGTATTCTGCAACTTGGGGTTTTAACCTTGATTCAAATACTACAAAGCCATACTGAATCAATATGCACAGAACTCTCCGCAACTGTAAAGAGGATAAAAAAATTAAAAATAATCATGACTTTTTTAAATATAAAATAATTAATAAAATTTAGAGCTGAAATTTAGTCATTACCTATCCTTGCTGGGTCGGTAGGTCAAACGTGTCAGCATTTTGCCATCTTCACTGTGTGATTGCATCTGACAGACCGACCCAACGAGTGTAGGCAGACCAGGATGATCAGTAACAACAAAATTTCATTTATCACCCTGCAGACAACACGGAAATACATTGTAAATGGGCAGTATATTACTTAATACCAAAATAACAAAAACTATTAAATAAATAATAATAATTTTCCCTATGTGTTTATTGCTTGTTTTGTTTAAACTTTGCTGCATTATGTAATCATGTTATACCATTTTGGCCCTTAGATCATAGGCTGCTCTACAGTAATGCAGAAGTATTTTCCAATTTTTATGATTTTTGTAAGAAGCTAACATTTTTTGAGCTGAAGGTTTACTTGTGAAAATGGACCATTCTTAAGGTGGACTGTTTGAAACAGACCGTGAAAAAGTGAAATAAATCTACCATGTAGGGGCACCCTATCTTTACCTCGTATGGTCGTTGCTTAAGGCCTCTTTCAGACGAGGCGGTTTGGATGATTCAACTGAATTGCCCGTTTGACTCTCAACTAGTTTACTACCGTGTGAAGGCTCTTCTTTCCTGGTTTCACACAAGGCAACTTGTGTAATCAACCTCTTTTACCAACGGGTTGTATGTTAGAACCCGAGGAAGCAGGGTGTTGTGCTTGTCTTCTGCAAAAAGCAAAGCAAAAAAGGAAGAAACCCAGTAAAGAAAAGTGTGGGTTTATCCGTTGTCATAAAATTGGATAATGGGCGCTTTCTCTCAAGCTTTGATTCTTTTAATTTTATCACTATACTTCTCACACCTCATGTCCCATATCACGGGACTAATATGAATATATTCAATGAACTGTTCCACATTGAAACTTGCAATTACAATGCTTTCCACAGTGAACACAGTTGACTCAACTAGGTGACTGGTGTGAAGGACCAATGCCGAGCAGTGTCTTTTGAGTTGAGTCAACCAGTGAGGATGAGAACGTGAGCGGCACTTGTGTGTGTCGAGTTGACTGCGTGTGAAGGTGTTGGAGCGATTTCCAAACATTTTGCTACCACGATACACTCCTTGACACTCGTCCATTCAACTAGTTGAATCAACTAGTCACCTCGTCTGAAAGAGGCCCAAGTTTCAGATTTTGACTTTTTATCGTCATCCATTGTGACTAAGACACTGAGAGCTTATCTTTCAACTAAAATTTAATTTACAATACAGTGGCCATTTTTCACTTGATCTCACTTCCTCTAGAATTCTTCAACGCCAATTGATATATTTAAATTTTGAGTGTTGCTCAAATCTCCCATTCTTAAACATTATTTAATTGCAAGGGTATAGTAGTTTCAATGTGGCTTCTATCATAGCCCATTTCATCTTTGAATGCGAAGCATTGGCTTAATGAGAAATAACCTAAGATTTAAAAAAGAAAGAAAAATAAAAACTAGGGTACTAGGAAGGTACAATAAGCCAGAAAGCTGCAGTACCTGGTGAGCACAAACCCGCTTCCCAGTATCCTCATCACCATCACCAATTTTCTTTAAAAAAACTATAACTTAATTATGTCATTCAACTAATTAACTCACAAGTGGAGGCGGTAAATCGATGGAAGAAGCTAAAAGTTTAAATGTTTTCGGACCCCATTGAAGTTGTTGGTGTATTTTTTCAGCTATAGGGCCGAAATGTTCTTGAATTAACAGAGAACAGAGTTGTCCGTATTTAAGGCTCATAGCAGAAGAGTTACAACACTGAACTGAAACAGTTAAACCGTTCAACAACCCGAAAAATGTTAGCTATAAGGCATAACGAATTCTTTTCCAATAAGGAACAAGCGAATGTAACCTCATGGAAGTCTAACCGCGGAACCTCAGGTTTCTTGGAAACAGACAACAGCAATGTTACAA